CCCCAAAACCCCAAAACCCCAAAACCCCACCTCACAAAATTTCATTGATAAACAGTAAAGTACAGAAATATAAATTTGAATTTTCTTCATGAGGAATTTAAATTTTAACAAATCAATATATCGATATAATTTTAAATGTATTCAAAGGACATCTAAAAAGGAACTCAAAAGTTAGCTTCAAATTAGCAATTGCAATATCTAAACTACCCAGCACCCCGCAAAGCTAACAATAACCCCATTAGTTCAACTCCCATGAAATATATATCTTCAATAATGAACTAGGAGAATATAGATCCTAGCTAAAACTAATAAAGCTCGAAAAAGCATGCTTATATCAATCAGCATTAGGATTCCCATTCTCAAAATCCGAGTACGAGCTCTCTTACATAGGCTATGTCATCTAGAGCAAATGGAACAGTAGGATTTAACAAGAGAGGTGATAGCAATCCTGCCAGTCAGAATTATAATTAGACAACCTCAAGCCATGGTCCTCTAAGTGAAATCACATAAATGCTGAAGAATAGCCAGAATCATTAGCAGAATTTAGGAAGATAAATGAAATCTTCCTCTTAAACTCAACAGTCATCAACTTCTGGTTCTGGAATCATTGTGGGTTCTACTTCTTAACCTATGCTAACTTAGAAAACGACATCATCAAACAGAGTTAGTGGAGTTTTTAAAATAAAGTAAAACTCAAACAATTCTTCGTAACAGGCAAAAAAGAATGCAAATTAAGGCATAAATAGTGGAGGGATCAGTGGTAAATATGCAAAGAATATTAACATCAATAACATTTCAAATTACAACCTCCAGTAAGTCACAAACAATAGCAGCAATATCACTGTTAACCTCTTATCTAGTAGTTAAACTTCTAGAATACACGAGTATTTCTAGTAAGCTGAGGTAAGAAGAAAAAATAATGCTAATATCATATTAAAGAAGGACCAGCCTTCAACTTAATTACAAAATGCACCGACTCCTAGTAATGCTCAGTAAACCAGTGGGGGCTCAACGCTCGAGTTTGATGATGATGTAGATAATCTTAACTGCCTAGCTAGCTAGGTAAATAATGTTGTAAATGGCTTTGAACAAAGAAGATTTAGCGAGAAAAATTTTAAGGTCTTTACAAACCACATCTAAAAGGAAGGTAGAAATGTATCACAGATTATTCTAGAATTAGAGGAATCTAATCAAATGAAATCGACAAATGACATACATAATCCCAGTAGTAAAATTTAGATCCTCTCTTCTAAAATAAAAAAGAACTCAAGTACAAAAGCAAAAGAAGGCTAAAATATACTTCAAAATTATTTAAGTAATAACTCATCTCAGAAGTCATCGAAAGATCAGTATTCAATCTAAAACTACAAAACCCCAAACCAATCACATCTAGTAAATAACACGAGAGAGACCCCTTAACTTAGTAAAGGTAAATACTCAGAAACTAAGAACTCAACAGTTGGTATTCCTCCATCTCAAGCAGCTGCTGATACCAGAACTCTACTAAGTGATCATATTAAAAAGCATATCAGAGCAGTAAGAAACACAATTAATAGCAATACATAGTAAAGCCCTAAGACAGATAAAATATCTAGTAAATCATGTACCAAAGTAGGTAGTATAAATGATCCAACTTAAGTGGGGCATCATAGCACAAGATATGATCCCGTAAATACTCAGATGTAGTAAGAGTCTCCATTCATGAATAAATCAAAGAGACCTCAATCAAATCTTGAGGGTAATTCTCCAACCAAACAAAAAGAAGATAGTGAGAACACTACACCATTCAAGTTATAGTTGAATCCTAGCCTTAGGAAAACAATCAAGCAAAGTCCAGAATAGAATCAGTTTGGACAATAATTCAGACATGTTATGCATTAAAACTATGTCAATCCACAAAACACAATAGCAAATAACACGACTGTAGCAAGTAATAGAATCTCAAAACTTAGTGCTAACACCACTAGTGGTTAATTAGGAGACATTGGTGAGGAGACAACTAGAAACCAAGTAAATGAAACTAAAACTATCAAGGATAAATTAGGTACATAGTAAATAGTACCAACTCCTTCCTAGTCTTCTCATACTTTCGGTAATTTAGTATTCAATTGATCTTTATTAGGTTTCAAGCAGAGGTAAATTGAGTAAAGAGATCAGGATGAAAATCAGAATTCTTCTAATAGTTTCGCATCGATGCAATAACAAAAGAGATCTTCAACCAATGGATATGATATGCAACCTATCTTAGATTAAGAGAGACTCTTCTTTGAATTGACAAAAACCATAATGAATGATAAAGATACAAGTCAGATAGACTTCAATGCAATGCAAGGTACTACAAAGTAGGCTTTTGATTTTATGAGAAAAATCTTAATAAGATACGGAGGGGCCTACTAAAATTAGAATGAGGAAAAATTGATTAATATGTATGCTTAGACATGCAAGATTGAGTTAGTAGTTCAATAGCTAATTAAAAAAATCTAAAATGATATTTATCCAACTTAGACTCAAAAGTAAGCAGGATAATCCAGCGGCCTGGTTCACAACTATATGAAAAATGTGATAATCCACACACATCAAAATATACTTTATTTCCTAGAGATAGCAACTCTTTTGATTGGTGGTAACTCAATTCAAAATCTTAATAGCAAACTTCAAGGCATGAAGCAAAATATTGAAACATCACTTCAGTCTCTTTAAAATATCTGTAGGATCAAAAGAAACGATGAGCAATATTTTGAGGATCTCCTCTAGATCCTAAAAAGAGTTGAGGTTATGAAGTAACTTAACTAAAGTCTTTAAAGCTTTGAAGGCACACTTACCTCACTAGATGCAAAGTAATTATTAGATCAAACTCCAATTGTAGACAAGAAATTTGTCTCTAAAATTGTAAATAGCGATCACAAAGCTCACCAAGCTTAGAACGTTAACTCCTAAATTTAATAAAATCCACTTTAAATTCAGAATCAATCAGCTTAAAAGCCATAAGCAAAACCTTAACCTTAAAATAATTCTCCCTACCAACCTAAATTCTTAAACCCAACAATAAACAATAACAATAACTCTAGCTAACATCAAAATAGCAATGGACAGATGAATAGGCATGCTAGTACAAGTCCAGTGAACAAGAGAAGGTCCTTTATTTTACCAGAATTAGATAATAGTAGATATCAATATACCCTAGTACTTGATTTGGATGAAACTTTAATACATTTTGAAGCAAGCGAGAAGAAATTCAAAATTAGACCGAATTGCATCACATTTCTAAAAACTCTCTCTTAGTATTTCGAGATTGTAATCTTTACAGCTGCTTCCTAAGATTATGCTGACTGGATCCTCGATGTATTAGATCCAAATAAAGCTTTTATTTCGCACCGTCTCTATCGATAACACACTTAGTATGATGATGGAGTATATGTTAAGGATTTGAACCTGCTTGGCAGAGACCTTAAAAAGACAATTATTATTGACAATATTAGAGAAAATTTTGAAAGACAAGATGCTAATGGTATTGAGATTGTAACCTGGCTAAATGATCCTAATGACAGAGAGCTTGATAATTTATAAGTTTTCCTTAAAGGCTTAGTAGAAGCCTAGGTCAAAGATGTTAGGCCTCTTATTAATCTATTTAAAGCTGAGTGTTGGAAATCTCCAACTAAGAAGAGAAAGGATTAAGATGTTTATGCTGGGGACAAAGTATCTCCTAAGGGATGCACTCCTCATACAGATAAGAAAGGAAGTGGCTTAATTGCTGGACTGGGTGCTCAAACTGACGCTAAATTCATAAGATGAAGAGATAGCAGAGTCAATATCTCCTAAAATTGAGTATATGACTAATTAATTTTAATTTTGTCTTATTTGCTAAAAATTACTAGTTTACAGAACTATTTATCTTTATGGGGTTTTGGGGTTTTGGGGTTTTGGGG